TGGATCGGATGCTCGTGAGGCCCTCATGTTGGCTAGCCGCATGGTGGAACATCCCGATGTGTCGTTAATTGTGATTCGATTCTTGGCAAATGAACAGGCAGGAGATATATTACCGGAAAGGAAGATGGATGATGGAGTGGTAACTTGGTTTTGGGTTAAAAATGAGATGAATGAAAAAGTAGTTTACAAGGAAGTTGTTGTGAGTAATGGTTTTGAAACAGTTTCGGCTATACGATCTTTGAATGCTAGTGTTTCGAAGATAGATCTCTGGATTGTAGGGAGGAAAAATGGAATTAATTCAACTTTCTTGAATGGGTTATCAGATTGGAGTGAAAATCCAGAATTAGGATTAATTGGTGATTTTTTAGTATCGGCTAGTTTTGATGCCTTAGGATGTGTATTAGTTGTGCAACAACAAGTGTTAAGAGAACAACATGCTGTTCCTTGGGCTTGTTACTAGTTTAGAAATTGTTTTTTATGATGTTTCTTTATAAATACATTATATTTGGATGAAACCAAAAACATCTACTTTCATCATTGTTTATTTTTATATAAGAAGTCGAGAGGCAATCAACAAGTATTGAAATATACGCACTAATCAGCTCCTATTACATTAGAGATAGCGTGCAGCAGGTCCATCCCCAACCCATGCTCGAGTGGAATACTCGATAGGGAAGAGATGAGCCATCACATATATTTACATGTGTCACTTCGCCTATTTAAAAACATGAACATAACAATTGAACAAAAGCTAGTTTCTATATAAAGAATAAATATCCCTAAGAATAAGGGTTTGTTCACTTCAGCTTAATTTCACTTCAGCTACTAAGTTCCTTCTCTTATAAAATATTCATTCATTTCTATTCAGTTCATTTAAGTTCAATTCAGCTCCAATCAGATCAGTTCAGTTTAGCTTCAATCAGTTCAATAAATGTAAACAAACCATAATACCTCGGTACCACTACAAAAAAAAAAACACGCTATTTTTGTTGAATAGCTTCTGATGGCCTAGTAAAACCGTCATAAAGTACATAGTTTCCGATAGTTTTAAAAGTTGTCGGAATTTTCAGACAATTTTTCAAAGGGATTATTATTGAAAGAAGATCAATCCCTATTAGCAGTGGGATTGTTTTGGAATAATCGAAAGACAAGATTGTTTTTTTTTTTTATTACTTAGGCCACACCATGATTTAACAAAAATAATAATAATAATAATAATAATAATAATAATAATAATAAATACGTGTAAACTGTAATGTCACATGCTTCACAAACTTGCAAAGATATGTTTTTTTACTCATGTACATTTATTCTTTTGGTGTAAATTAACGTTGTACACTCTAAACTTATTACCCGTATCATGTGTATATATATAGATAGTAATTGGACCAAATTGATGGATTTTGAACGTGAGCACATAACTATGATGCCACCTTTTCTAAAAAAATAAGATGACACTCTGTATGATCTTATCAATCTATCTTCTCTTCATAATTCCTAAATCAACTTCCCTTCCATTATATTTGTATAACTTTTGCCCAAACACCACCTTCGCTCCCAACACCAATTATGCAACTAACCTCAACACCCTCCTCCACTCTCTCGCCTCCAACGTCGCCACCGACCCCACCGGCTTCTACACAACATCAGCCGGCAAAGGCACAACCGATGTGGTCTACGGCCTCTTTCTCTGCGGCGGTGACCAAAACGTCACCGCGTGCAGAGACTGCGTGAAAACCGCAACAACCACCGACTTACAACATACATACTGCCCCAACTCAAGGGTAGCAACAATATGGTATGACGAGTGTATGGTAAGGTACTCCAACGTGTCTATTTTTGGTAAACTTTCGATTGTACCTAAGGTGAGCATGATGAACTCCGAAAGAATAAACGGAAACAAACCCGGTTCGGAGATTTTATGAAAAAAACAATGGATGAAACAGCGGTTGAGACCGCTAATAATCGGTCAGGGATTAAGTTCACTGCGAAAGCGGTGAATTTCACTAGGTCAATTGCATTGTATGCGTTAGAACAGTGTACACCGGATTTGACTCCCAATGAATGCAGTCAATGCTTGACACGTGCGATTACGCAACTCTCGGTCATGCAAGGTTCAAGGGTGTTACAACCTAGTTGTAACGTTCGGTACGAAATCTATCCATTTTACAATGGTGCAGTTAATTACTCGGCTTCTTCGGTTCATAATAACTCGGCGCCGCCATTTGCTGAGACTGGTGAGTGGTGAGTTAATTTATGTCATTTTTTTCACAGAATAATTTTTAATTATGTTGCATTTTGAGTAATTTATACTTCCTATCATTAATTGGTCACAAAGTCTTATATGTGGTTGGCCACACGGTAAGGTCATCCATATACGGATTATTTCATTAGTATAATAGGGGTTACTTGGTCAACGTTAAAGAGGTTATTTCGTCAGTGCTATAAGAGTAGTTACTCGCTTAGTGTTACAGGATTACTAGGTCAGTGTTATAGCGATTACTTTATTCTTTTATAAGTGGTCAAATAGTATGGTCAGCCACATACAAAACGGGTAGTTAATTGGCTAGTGTCGTTACGAGTAAGTGGAATTACAACATTTTAATTCTTCACCTCCTTAGCTTCTCCGGTTTCCATGCTCAACAACTTCCCAAAATACAATTTTTCCAATAACACCGCTTAGCATCTTCTTTAAATACCCAATTTCAAACACTTTAAATTTGGTAAATTAATATCATGGCAATCATTAAGGTAATTAACAAATTAGATCGGTGCAAAAATAATTCATCTATCACTAAATTACTCCCATCTTTTTTTTATTTGTTGTTTCTGATGTATTATACGGCGTTAATGACTTGATATTTGACATCTTTCCCTTTAGTGCGTGGCCGATTGTACAAAGGTAGCACTACTGTACTTTTTTTTTTTTTTTTTATCATGAAAAGTTACTATTGTGTTATGAGATTTAAGATTTACTTGCATTATTTAAATAATATAAGTTATTTTATCTTTATTGTGTATAAAAAATATATTTATGTGTAAAGGCTTTTATCTTACATTATGTTTAGAGCACATAAACATCAGGAACGAGATTGGTTATTGCTGAGCATTTTCAAAAATATAAGCGTGAAAATTAATTTGGAGTATAAAAAATTAAAAATAGTGTAAAAAAATTTTCTATATTACATTGGCCGTCTTTTAAATCTTTGTTTTCACATCAACATTCCCTCGGTCGTTCTAATCCTTCTTGTTTTTTTCGTTTAAATCTTATTGTGGTAAAATACAAAAAATATTAAATAAATAAAAAAAATCGGAGTCATATTTTTAATTTTTATTTCAACAGTGGGATAGTCAATTTGACAAATCTTCTTCAAGCGGTTATTGTGGTGTTCTCGTACGAAATTGTTTAATAATTTGGGCCTTTGCTGAATTAGAGGGGTCAAGGTTTGTTGGACTAGCGCGCAACAGCAATTAATTTGTTATGTGTTGTTGGCAGTTAGTATGGTATATGGTCAACACATTGTTTCTTTGTGCAACCTTATCTTTGGTCAAAATATGGATACTAAGTAACATCAATGACAAGCTAATTGTCAAACTAGCTTGACATGTCACGTAAGTTTTTAAATTAATCATCTTTCTAACTAGTTTGGGCCCTAAAGATTAGCTATTAGCTTACTATTTAAATTATTAATTATTTGATTGTTTTCATCTTAATTACTAATTTACTTTTAGTATTTTTTTTTTGGCAAATTTTTCAAGCAGATTAGCTTAGCAAGGCTTATTTGTTTGGCCAAGCTAATTGCATATTCTAGCTAGTAGCTATAAACTATATAAAATTACAAGCAAATCCCTAATTACAAACATTGGGAAAGAAAAAGAAAAACTAAAAAAAAAAATATCCGCCTTAAATATTTCCCAAATATCTATTCTAATTGACACAAATAAAAATGTGATGTTCTTAAGGATATGAAGAGCATATTTGATTGGAAGAAGAAATATGAGCTACAAGAAACACTAAGTTTAATAAATATTTTAATTGTTAACCGTTAATTATCTACATACATCATTTTTATACTGTAAAAGTCAGATGAAGAGCAACGTTGACTGGATGATGCCAAATAAAAGTCCATGATGGGCCCCACTTCGTTGATCCCAAGTCGCAAAGCAAACATTACGGAGAATATACTTTATGTTAATCATTTTTATACGCGGACCAACAATAACACAAATATATCTTCGTGTCATCGTACTGCTTGTCGCCGTATCGTATAGGTTAGTAAACTAACTAAGCTGAATTGAATTGAAGTGAAATGATTGGAACTTAACTGAATATGGATGAAATGAATATTTTATGAAAGAAGAAAATTAGGAGCTGAACTGAAATAAACTGATTGGAGTTGAAGTGAACTGAACTGAAATTAAGCTGAAGTGAACAGGACCTACCTCCGTTTTATAATTTTGCAACGATTAGAACTTTTTTCTCTCTCTATTTTATGTCAAATCGTTGCAAATAATATGAATCGAAGGTAGTATATAATATTCCCTTTAATACTTATTTTATACAAAAATATTTGATACCAACTAAAACTTAAATTATTCGATATTGATCCAAAAATGTGCTTAGTTGGTTTCTCTCCGTCCCTAAATTACATTCCTGTTTTCCTCTATTATGTGAGGAATAAATGCTAGAAATAGAAATGTAATTTAGGGACGGAGGGAGTACTAAATTACTGATTTTAAAATTAAAGCAACCAATTGGCCATTGCCACGTATTTGTTATGTGTATATATACCGTCTCACATTAATTTATTTCAAGGTATATATAAATTAGCACTTCTCATGGAAACGTGTAAGACATTACTCTTATCCTAACATTGAAGGAGTTTCATAATTTTGCTACATACAAGTGTATAATTTAACACTAGAAGTACACTATGTATGTATGCAAATTTCAAACACTAAAACTTTTGGTTAAATTAATTCTTCGATAATTCTAATAGTGGAATTAAATTTGATGCAGGAAAAAAGAAGAAATCATCAAACAAGATGATGATAATTATTGTTGCAATATTAGTTGCAATACCATTGAAAGTAATTGCAATAACCTACTGTTTTCTGAAAAAGAGATCTAAGAATTATCATCATTCCGTACCCATCGAATGTAGTAAGATGATAATACAAGTTTTATGTTTGAGTTCATCATCCATTAATACATATTCTACACTACTTAATTTTGTAATTATTGTATTTCATGGTTTTTTAAGGTGGAGATTTTACAATAGCTGATTCCTTACAGTATAATCTGGGTACACTTCAAAGCAGTTTAAAGCAGTTTCAACCGGTGTCTTTAATCTGCAGAATTTAAAGCAACCTGTCAGTAAAACAATTCCAAAGTGACACAATTTGAGCAAATAACTACAACAGTTTTATGTACATTATACCAGCCAAAGAAGTCTGAACATAACTCTTCGAACTTTGCTCTCGTGAGGGGTGTTTTGGGCCATCTTGTGTTGCAGTATTGAAAGGCAAGCTGTCAAAACACACCATTGACAATTTTAGTACTCGTAAAATCCAAAATGATGTCTGAAGGCACAAACAATTTTTTTTTTATTTTTTTTTTGAGGAATTATACACATATACATGGTTAATGCTAATATGAGTTAACGACAAAAGCTCAACCTTTGCCTTCTCAGCTGAAGAGCTTGTTTGTCATTCCGAAGATCAATATCCTCATTCTTCTTGAAAGTTTCTGCTAGCCAATCTACCATTCTGTGTAGTAGCAATTACAAACAACTATATCATTTCACTGCATAAAATTAAAGAACCGATTCAAGCTAACACAGAATTAGGCACGCCGATTCCTTGTTTCCTACCTTATCGGAGTCATCACCACCCAAATGAGTTTGTCTCCTGATGTAGATAACACCTTGAAAACTTTTTCTCCAACCTCAAGAACTGCAAAAGGCAGAAAGAGTTTCGTTGCAATGTAAGAAATCTGATGTAATGCATCAAAATGTAAACTATTGCAGAAGGCATACATGGAATTTCTCACAATTGGAGTTTTTCTTTATGAAGAACTCACCCGAAACATTAAAATTACCACCAAGATCGAAAACCAAAATCGTCTCGTTATTCTTCTTCTCATAATCTTACTCACAAATTTTGAAAATAATATATTTTAAAACATTTTTAACGGTCAATTATAATTATTATTAATTCCGATAAGAACAAATGACATCAGAAAAGACAGTTCTCAATGCAAAGAATACAATTGAAATTGATCTTAAGCTTCTAAATTTTCATTAATTGCAATTCATTAAGGTCCAAAACACCAATGCATATGAAAGCCAAAACAAAACAAAATTATGACACAACCCATAACAGAATCCCAAAATCATCATTACAATTTCACAGCCTTAATATTAGTCCATATTCTGTGATTAAATGCCACACAAAACAAAATTATACGACACTGTCCAATACAATCTTCCAAATCTATCATATTTTAAACTTGTAAATCCTCACTCAAAGGACCTACTGAAGTTTAGTTTCTGTAAGAATTCACACACACTCAATCTATCACCATACTATTAAAAAGAAAGTCAATTTAAAGAACCTCAAGTTTCAAGCTCAAAATAAAAATAACACAATCAAATGATCAAACTCATTATCCCACCAAGATAAATGCAACACAAAAGAACCTCAAGTTTCAACCTAAAGTTTCTCTGAATGACACAAAGGTTAAATCCATTTCACTTTAAAATGTGATGTGTCCTACTTTTCACAGTATTTTCAGTGACTAAGATGCACACAACCTTACCCTATTCACTATCCAGCCATATCTTTTATTTTGGATTAATAGTTGGACAAGGAACAGAAACCCACTGGTACAATAGCAGAAACAAGGCAGTCATCATTTACAAATGCAGATGAACTATGCAAAAAAGCACTGTGGAATGAAAGAAAGCAGATGATACTTGATCAATTATGAATATGACTAACCAATAACACTCAATAAAAACAAGACCTCAGGAGATTTATCGTCATATTCAAGAACTTTGGACCTGATGTTTGTGACTTTATTGACTCAAGATTGTAAGCAGTTAAATAGACACCTTCAAATGAGTCAAATCAATATTGTAAGCAATGAAAGTTGACCATGAAAATGTTTACATTGGACCATATCACTTCTTAAATTACAGCCAAAGAACATAAAATAATGACAACATATAATAATTGCAATAATAAGCAAAATTTCATCAGCAAAAAATTGTAGGCTATAATAAGGTACTACTTTAAGGGTTTAATAAACACTCATTCCAACCTTAGATACACCCACATCATTTCCCCATATATTGTCAGCCTCAAACTCTCTTTGCTTCCCTTGCAAATCTTTTTGTACTTCCTTTGCAAATTGTTTGATTTCTTGCTCCCTACAACTTGTTAGAAATTAGAGATTGATTAACACAAATAATCCAAATAAAAAATTAACAACAATAATGCTATTAAAAGGCTTAGATCAAACATCAAATCAAAGTTTATAAAAAAAAACACATGAAAGAAATAGGAGAGAAATTCAGATGATGAGATCTCAATTAGTAGTCGGTTACCAGCCTATCTCAAGCCTAGCTACTCGCCCACTCCCAAGTCCCCAACCCTACTCTAGTACTCTTCTCCACGACCCTAACCACTGCCCCACCCCTCTCTCCATCCCCACCACCATTGCACCACTCCAGTCCCAATCCCACCACCAGAATCGCCCTCTTCCCTTCCCGACCACAGCTGCCAACCTGCCACCCTACCAGGCCAAAACTCCCACACCCCACTAATCAGTCCCTATTCCACCCCACCCTTCTACAGCCCTGATTCCACCAATTCCCAACCATCGCAACCAACCCTCACCACCAAATACTCCCACACACCCCCACCAACGAGCCAGAATCCCCCACCTCACCCAACCACAACTCCCTTCTTCCTCATGAATAGCAGCCACCTGCAATCCTGGCACCCTGCTGCTGCTCCATCTCCTTGCACCAACAATAACAACCCCACATCACCAATTCCTCAATTGTATTCTGGGCATTGTAGTCTTCCTCAATTCACATAATCCCACAATCACCAATAATATGATGCATTGTAGTCTGGGCATAGAAATCCCTCCCAAATACATACAAACTAACATAAGATTAATGTTATAAAACACTTTGATGCATATACCCAAGCAACAACACCCTATGCTTTTGGAAAAAAAAATTCAGTCTTTGCTACATTAAGCAATTAGTTCCTGCTTCAAAATGTGATTAAAAAAAGGATGATTAAGCTAACAATTCTTCATCAACCCCAAATATTATTTCCATTAGACATAGCATGGGAAACTGGGGAGGAGGAGGATAGACAATATAATTGAGAGGAAGATTGGCGTCATCTCAGGTCCAATTTTACACACTGAGAAATACTCGAAGATTGGCGTCATATTTTAACTTGGAGTTTTGACACACTCCCGGTTAAGTATTGAATTGAGAAATGAGAATTTTGTGAAATGAGAATCAGATCTGTTTGAATACTTGGTGCAATTTTCATGGCGTTTGAAGCTTTTTTGTGAAATACCATTTTTATTACTTTAGGAAATTTAACGAATTCGGAAAACCAAAGTTACATATACACAATTGATTAGACTTGATGGATGCTCTTCAACTTAGTAGTGACCATTTAATATTTATACTATAAATGGTCAGAATCAACATATTAAACAATACTTAATATTAATTTACACTAAATCTCTTCACCACGTCAAATTAAATCAGAATAATGTTTACAGATTTTTAGTAAGTTCCATTTTCAAGTCCACAAAAAGAATAAAAATCAAGACCACTTCAAAGATCTCAATTTGATTGCAATAAACTCCCAGTCCAAATTCTAGGGTATAGCTTGAACACTTTACTTGCATCAATTAATAGAGCATGTAAACAAGAGTAATGCATCAATTAACCAGGAGACTCAAGTTTCAATTGTCACAGGGGACTCAGTCCAGTTTTTCGGCCAAGCTAACCTGCAGCAATCGGTTACCTATTTATTTATTTTTTATATTTTCTATTCCAACTTTACCAACAAAGTACTCAAGTTCACACAGTACATGAATAATACTCTGTAGCAAAACCAGCAATTAAGCAGAACAATCACAAAATGAAAACAGAAAATCTGTACATATCTTCAACTTCCCGAAAAATGCCATATAATTTCAAGAGGTGAAAGTGAAACTTATGACTACTCACATGAATATATTTGCCAAAATACAAATTAGAGAGCAATCTAACCTGGGAAGAAAAGTGTTAATTAAGGAGGTAACAAGAGAAAGTTGTTTTGCCACAAATGAATAGAACAGGAGGCAGCATTCTGGTAAAACTTTTTGCTATGGTGTCTACAGCGTATAAGAGGGACATAGCAGCAGATAAGCCCGACCTTTGACATAGTGAAGAACAACAATCTTTGTTGACATGGCACGTGCAAATTTGAAATCACAAAGCTAAAAAAATAGAAGTAAGAATAAGCTTTTTATACTGAATAAATTTAACCTTAATAACGCATAAATTTAAAATTACACATTTGTATAAGAGAGGTGAAGACAATAATGTAACAAAAACTGCAGCTAGAAAGGTGCAAGCCAGATTGCCAATTCACGAGTCATTATGCTCTTCAAAAGATGATCCCAGATTGCAAGAATTGATGTTGGTCTTATTAGTTACAAGTACCCTGTAATGCTAACATAAATATCTAGATAATCAAACATCAACATAAATATCAAGATAATCAAACATCACAGCGCACTTGAGCTATAAGAGAGTAATTTCATAGCACCGAGATGTCTTTGAGATTCTATGGCATCACAAGGCAAATGCATAAGCTGGACAATTGATGTGCCCTGTGCACACTTGCCACACTGTTGTAAATATATTTTTATGCCAAGAAGCTTAGAGTCACTTATTAATAAAGATCAAAAGTAGACAAGATTACTGCTAGAATAAACTCCTACATCCTTTATTTTTCTTATAGTTGTAGTATTCAATAATAAAGAGCTTAATTTTAAGAAATGATACCATTGTGGCCACTATTCAAATGTACGGATTAACAAGCTCAACTTAATTATAAAAAACCTTTGAAGATTTCCTATATTTTCATCATTATATCACTAAATTTGCACCAAAGTTGACAAAATAAGAAGCCAAGGGGTAGACCAAGACAAACCTGAGCTGCCTTTCATAAAATTTGGATTCCTTTTTCGAAGGCTAAAAGCAACCACCAAATTAAATTACCTGAACTCATCACTGACACCATATGCAAAGGTTATGTCTAGAAACTCTTCTAATATAGCTGTTGTGCTTGTACATGAATTCATAAGCATCAAAGGTTTTCATCATTGTGCTTCTAAAATTTAGGAATATCAGAGAACCAAACACATTAAGTTGCAAGATTCATTTACATCATCTCAACTGTGAACCAAACAACCAGCTAGATTCACCGTTCACTAATTAAATTGAGATACATAAACTTAATCGTTAGCAAGAAGAAAAAATCATATCATTCTTCCCATTGATCAAATTCCAATACTTGCAAAAAAACCAATATACATACTCTTATCCTTCATCTTTCATACTATATCAACTTCCCAAATCATTACATATTAACAATAACTCTATAATCATTCGAAATATTACAAACCTTTTTGTTCTGCAATTAAAACAAATGAATTGATCCTACTAAATACTAATTTCACCCAACTATCAAATTCAATATAGCATCTTTACATCAACTGACCAAATTAAATATAATTAGATAAGCATTAAACATTTAAAATAGATAACCCCTGAAAACAATATGATTATTCCAAATAAAACAAGTAAACGATCAAAAATATGAGAATAAGAGCTTCAATTCCTACTCAATGTTAACATGCTTTAGTGTTGTATATATGTATTGTGCATTTGTGCACAATTTAATTATAGCTATTGTGTTGCTTCTTATTTTAAATGACCACCAGTACTGCATTTCTTGCTCTAAACGAATAAATCTATCTTTGTCGGATCACACGTATGCCCACCTTGGCAATTTGGATGTTGAAGGCATCAATAAATCAATTGATCTATGTTTTCATTGTTTCTAATACGCTAGATTATTTTAATTAATATTTCTCTCAAATCTAGATATTGTTTTATTGATTCGTGTGCTCACAAAGCCAGTATTCACTTAGGGCGCCAGGCTTGCATATTTGCAGCTACCAAAAAAAAGTGTACATCGATCACAATCCAATGCTAATACGTTTGGACTATGACGTCTTGAATACATACATTGAAATATCTGGCTGGTAAGTATAGTTAATCATACCAATACTATTGGCCTTTAGGTGAAGCATGGTGAGATATGTAGCAACATTGACTTAAGTACGAGGCATCAACCAATCAACATATAAAATTGTGGAAAATTGGAAATTTCAAAGCATACATAAATACATTGAATGCAAACAACCAAAAAAAAATCAAAGGACCCACCCCTAGTCCCCTAAGCCAAAGGGCAAACTTTCTCCATGAATGCCTAACTTTGTCATTTTACTACTTAAGCCATTTACATTGTACCATGTACTTCGTATTTCTTTATTATTATCACACATTATTTATATTTCATATCCTCCTTTATTTTTTTTTATCTAAAATAATCCCTCCCTCATCAAGATTATACTTTCTTCATCAAAATTATCATAATTATTATTCTGTATACTATGAATCTAGCAACAAATTCCAAACTAATTATAATAATTACCCTCTTACTTCAATTAATTTCCAAATCAACTTCCAATCCTACTTATCTCTATAGCATTTGCTCAAACACCACTGAATTTACCACAAATAGTAAGTACCATACCAACCTCAACACCCTCTTCAAATCCCTCTCCTCCAACGCCACCAACAACCCCACCGGCTTCTACATCACATCTGCTGGCACCAACACAAGCGATGTCGTCTACGGCCTATTCCTCTGCCGCGGTGATCAAAACATCACCGCGTGCAGGGATTGTGTCAAGACCGCAACCACAACAGGCCTACCAAAGACATACTGTCCCAATAGAAAAATCGCGGTAATATGGTACGACGAGTGTACCGTAAGATACTCTAACGAATCGCTCCTTGGAAAAATGGAGCAATCACCTAAAGTGTTCTTAACCAACACTCAAAATATGACTGGAAATCAAACCGCGTTTTCTGATCTTTTAGGAAACACAATGAGTAGTTTATTAGATCAGACTTCGAATAGTAAGTCGGGTAAAAAATATGCAACAAAAGTGGCGAAATTTAACAGCTTGAAGAATCTCTATGCAATGGAGCAGTGTACTCCTGACTTGAGCGCCTCAGATTGTAATCAATGCTTGACGATTGCGATCGGGTCGCTCGACGTTAAGATGGGTGCTCGTGTTATGCAGCCTAGTTGTTTTGTACGCTACGAGACTTACCCGTTTTATAATGGTGCCACTAATTTCTCTACGCCACCGTTGCCGTCGCCGTCGCCGTCGCCGGGTACTAAACCTGTTGTTAGTAATGGGAAGGGTACGTCATTTCACATCTCTACTTATTCAGATTCTTATTCCTTGATCTTTGTTATTAGCCTTTGGCCTGGGTTTATTGAGCTACAGAAAAACTACTCCGTTGTATAGATGGAATTTGATTTTTAGATTAGTGTCTTTTTAATCACTTCAAAATGTTTAAACTCCTCCATTATATATTTTGGAGATACAGTTGTTAATTTCTAACATTTCATTCATTCCTTGCATATGAACATATATTCAATTGATTTTATTTAAACTTAATTTGAATTGTTTTTTTTTTTTTTAAATCTATTATGAATAGAGGAATCCCATATTTTAGTTATTTTGTGGTTTATAGACTTTATAATCCAAAAATGTGTACACACGATCTCGATGGCATGGGGTATATCATGATTTCTAATGGTCAGTGCAGCAAGCCACATGGTGCAACAAGGGTTACTTATATTCTAGGGTTACTTGTATTCAGGGGTTACTTATATGGGTTACTTGTATTATGAGATTACTTGTATCGTGGGGTTACTTGTATGGGTTACTTGTATTCCGAGCAACTCCTACAAGTAACTCCACACCAAAACCTCATACCAAACCAGTAACACTCTACAAGTAACTCATGACCAAAACTAGTAACACCCATACAAGTAACCCCATAATACAAGTAACCCTTGACAAAATCAGTAACACCCTACAAGTAACCCCTGACCAAAACCAGTAATACCCATACAAGTAACACCTACAAGTAACCCCTGACAAAATCAGTAACACCCCTGACAAAACCAATAGCACCCTACAAGTAACCCCTGCCGCACCATGTGGCCAGCCGCATACAAAAATTATTATATCCACTTCACATATGTTGATACAATCAAATATCCAATCAATCATATATCCTATTTGCTATTTATGTACGAACGCAAGTGTTATTATTATTATCATTATTTTTTTTTAATTATTATTATGTGAAGCATTTTATACACATTCAAATAATTTAAAGTTAGTGTTTGCTGATAATTAAATGAAATATAATCATAAAAAATTAGAATAAAATATTTAAGCTATGCCATTCTATCTCTCATTATTATTATGATACAAATATCTAAAACATCTCATTTTTTTCAGAATATCTTTTCAGATTTTAAGAGTTTGTTATGATACAAATGGAATTTGAATATAATGGAACTTGAGCCCATTATTCTACTCAATCAAAACATGACAAATTAGAGTTGTATGTAGGGACCACACACAATAATTGTATGTGTAGCCTTTGTTATGATACAAATATAAATTGAATATAATGAAACTTGGGCCCATTATTCTGGTCAATCAAAACATGACAAATTAGAGTTATATGTAGGGACCACATACAACAATTGTATGTGTGGAACCTTTTGCAATACGAAATGTATTTGAATTTTTCTTAAATTTCCAGGAATCCACTCTTATCAAGAGTCAATTGAGAGATTGGAAGAATAATGGAGTGTGTGTGGCCTTTAGTTGAGGATGGGACCACTTGGGACTTAGGAGAGTTACGTATGTGAAGGGGCATTAAATGATTGACGGGGTTATGGGGTTGGTAGTTGGCATCATTTACTTGACTTTTAGTCAACTCCATCACTTATTTTGTTGGCTTAATCCGTTCACCTCAGGTCAAAAAGTAACACAATTAACTGTTAGTTATTTATTTTATTTTTACTTTTTTTTTTTTTGAAAGAAACATATTTTTGTAGTTTTGTAAGTGAGTATGAACAAATCTTAACTTTAGGAAACTCTCCTTGGCAAGCTGGATTTGGTCCAACAATATTTGCTTTTTGGGCTGTCTTAAACTCTTAATCCATCTTTGACCCTTGTGTTCTAAGCTAACTTGTATATTTTTTTATCATGCATTTTTAACAAACAACTTCAAACATAATTTCAATGTCCTTATGTCCATGAACATATCATTCTGAACTCTCAAGAATGACAATTTTTGTTGAACTTATTTTTTTAAGACAAAGAAAAAAATAAAGGTATATAAATCAATTTATTCGTAACACAATAAAATATTGTTCTGTAGAAGTAGGTCGCGTTTCTAATACGTGTTGATTAGAGTAGTAAAATGGATCCATACAGTCATAGTGTCATGACTTGTTATAAGCACAACTTCTTGTACGCAAGGATTTTTTTTTTTTAATACATAAGTTAATTAATCAGTCTTACTTGTCTTATCTACACAGGACATAGAAAATTATCAGCCAGGATCATTGCCGCCATTGTTGCTCCAGTTTCTGTTATATCATTGATAATACTTGCTTTAGTAATTTGTTTTATTAGAAAGCGGTCTAAGAAATACGGTGCTTTACCTCCACAAAATGGTAAGAACACAACAAAAGTATCATTGAACAAAGTTGATCATTATTTTCTTTTTGGTGATAGTAACACTACTTCATCAATTACAATTTTGTGGTGCAGAAAATGAAGATTTCACAACTGCTGATTCCTTGCAATATGATCTAAGTTCACTTCAATATGCAACAGCGAATTTTAACGATGAAAATAAGTTAGGTGAAGGTGGATTCGGTGGTGTATATAAGGTAAAATCATATGTAAATACTAATCATAACTTAGTGAAAAAATTATGTGCAAAGTTGGCGTGACAATTAAATTGGGATGGAATGAGTATTGATATAATCACTAACACTTGTCATACTAATTAATAATCAAATTTTCGTTTCAGGGTACTCTGTCAAATGGACAAGAAATAGCAGTGAAAAGGTTATCGAGAGGTTCAGGGCAAGGCGTACAAGAATTTAAGAACGAGGTTTTGTTGGTGGCCAAGCTTCAACATAGAAATTTAGTGAGGTTACTTGGATTTTGCATAGCAGGAGACGAAAAACTGCTTGTGTATGAATATGTACCCAACAAAAGTCTTGACTACTTCCTTTTTGGTACAATATTCCGTGACCTTTATATTCTATACTTGTAATGAAGTTAATTAGATTTATTTTCATAATAATGCTTGAATTGATGATAATTATTTTTTTTGCTTGCTTGTACATAAATAGATCCTGACAAACAAGCGTCATTGGATTGGGAAAGACGCTATAAAATCATACAAGGGATTGCTCGAGGAATGCTTTATCTCCATCAAGATTCTCGTCTTAGAATCATACATCGTGATCTAAAAGCAAGCAATGTGTTGTTAGACGTGGATATGGTTCCTAAAATTTCAGACTTTGGCATGGCTCGGATTTTCGGAGTAGACCAAACCCAAGGAAACACAAGCAGAGTTGTTGGAACTTAGTAAGTACTTATATAACTCCAACTCTTTATTCATAGGCAAATTATCATGGATAAATTCAAACATGTACAAAATTAATATATACATCGTAATACTTAACATTTATATAATGATTTCTCTTGCAGTGGCTACATGTCTCCAGAGTATGCAATGCAAGGACATTTTTCCGTGAAATCAGATGTATACAGCTTTGGTGTACTAGTGTTGGAGATTTTAAGTGGTAAAAGGAATACTAGTTTCTACCAATCAGGGGAGGCTCAGGACCTTTTAGGCTATGTGAGTTTTAGTTTTCTAATTACCCCCTTTGATTAGTGTATGTCACTCAGCTCTAATATATTGTTAATGATATTAGAAGGAGAAATTGATTTTATTATCAAATTTGTAGGCATGGAAGCAGTGGAATGATGGGGCACCCTTGGAATTTGTGGATCCAAGTATAAGGGATTCGTGCTCGGTAAATGAAGTCCTAAGATGCATACACCTTGGCTTGCTGTGTGTTCAAGAGTCTGTAGACGATAGACCTACAATGGCAACAGTAGTCCTCATGTTAGATAGTTACTCTGTCACTCTACCGGTACCACAAAACCCGGGTTTCTTTATCAAAGATAGGACAGGATCAAACTTTGGCAACTCGGTATGGTCAGATCAATCGACTAGCAAGTCTATGCCTTGGTCTGTGAATGACGTCTCTATCTCTGAAATGGAACCGAGATAAAGGACGTGGATCTATGTGGGTGCCTGGGTGGCACGCACTAAAATTACTTTAGATTTTTTTAGTTCAAAATTCGGCTATATTGATGATATAAAAGGTTATGTCTGTATAATTATTCACCAAGTGCCCCTTCATAAATAGTATCCTAAGGCCCTGTTTGGTAATAGCGTTTGAGGTAGCGATTAGCGTTTTGACCAGTCAAAACACTGCTAGTAAAAAAATTAATCTGCCTTTTTGGTAATGTAATATTGTTTCCTGTTAAATCATGCTTGATTATACATATACTATAAACGTGAAATACAAAGATTGTTTGTTTTAATTTGGAGGAAAGTGTTTTTCATAAAAACTCTTTTCAGATTTCCCTTGTTTGAATTTGACCGGATGAAAAAAGGAAACATTGGATGGAATGTTTAGTTTCCAATTAGTGGTATTGTGGAAACCATTTTCCTCCAAATTAGGAGGAATGCCACATTTTCTGTAAAAAAAAAAATAAAAGAAAGCAAGTGAGGCATCTACTTGCTTATCAATTGAAGAGAGTTGAGGGTTTGAGATGATTGTACGTAATCAGGAAATTTTTGTACAATCAAACAAAGGAAAAACAATCTTCAATTGCATTTGCGTTTAGAAAACAATTTTCATGGAAAACAATTGCATCCTAGTCGTGTCACAGAATTTCATGTAGATGCCCATAAATTTAGATTCTCAAATAATACCATTATACGTTCAATGGTACTATATATATGCAGTGCTTATAGTGGTACTAATTTAAATACACTCTTAATGAATATAAATAAATTTCATTGTACGTCACTGTTTTCATTCTTCCAGGCCATGTACTTGTATTATGTTTTAATATTATTTTTTACGGGATATTTTAATATTGCTATGTATTTGCTTGGTCAATACATAACTAATCTATATTACTCCTTACACCCCAATTGTCTCTCATTTTTTATTATACAACCTGTAGATATTCAAACCACCTTCCATCAGTTGTCCCACTAGACTTTATTATCCATACCAGCCACCATCTGATGTAGAAGTAACTAAGTAAGTGGTCATAACGAAAAGAGCCATTTCTAAATTGGTTGCGAAGATTTCAGTTTTCACTAAATTTGCAAAATTGATATTCGAACTAATAAAAGATTTGAATTTTCTAAATAATTCGAAAATGGGTACATTATGTTCAAAATTTATACACATCACATCATGGAAGATGGGTATTGTTGTTGCTGCAGTGGTTCTATCTATCTTAGTTACAATATTACTTGCCGTTTTCATATGCCGCATGAGAAAGAAAGCAAAGAAGTATGTCACGTTTGCTACTCAATTTGGTAAGTAAATAACCAAAAAAAAAAAAAATAGATAATTTCTAATCCTTGCTTTATTAAGTTATGTGTTTTTTCGGTTAATCTTAAAGTAATTAATTAATTTCTATCTTTTGTTCTAGGAGACCATTTCACAGATGTTGAATCATTACAATATAGTCTTGGTGAACTTCAAATCGCAACAAATCAATTTTCACGCGAAAATAAACTAGGCCAAGGCGGTTTTGTTGTAGTATATAAGGTAATTAAACAATACAGAGTAAATATAGTAATCAATATTAAGGATGGAGAAATTTCTTTATCGAATTGTGAAAGTCTAACTGGCTAATACAAGGGGGGGTGAATTGTATTTGAGATGAAATCTAAAAACTTTTGCGGAATTTAACTAAATGAAATAATGACGAGAGAAGATATAGGCTTTTCTAAATTTCCACTATGTAATCAAACTCTTTACAAGTGAAGATTCAAACCCGTTAACAAGTTTCACAAATTAGGAACTTGTTCCCAACTCTCACAGAAGCCTTCAGCAACGAAGCTTCCTTGACCTCACTTTACAAACTCACAATCCCAACCCCAAAGTACTTGAATACAATCTGTGATTACAAATACCTATTGCACTCAAGAATATAAGAAGGATAATAACTCTCTTTATGTTATTAGATGGCTACTGGAATTTTTATGCTCAAGAGTTGTGTTTTTCTGAGATAGTTTGCATGAGTATTTATAGAGAAGACTTAGTCATTAACCTCCACTATAATCACGTCCACATGCCAACACCCCACTAACAACTTGTGGAGTTATCTTGACAGATGGTGATCATGAAGGAGGTTTCCTAGCCTTATCTCACTAATCCACTATCTCAACAACTTGATAAACATTAGCTATGATAAAATCGTATAATTAGAGATTCTCAAAGAAAACTGTTTGCTAACTTTATCAAAAGTTTGTTTAAAAAAATTTTATTTTAAAAAGGATTTTATTTGAAAAGATAAATTAATTATTTATATTAAAACAACTAGATAATTATCTTTATTCGAAATTAGATGACTAGATAAAATTTTTATAAATTATCTTTTTCCTTAAGAAATTATCTTTTAAAACTAACTTTTATTCCAGTAGTCTTTTTAATAACATAAGTCATTGAGTTCCCTTCCGACTTTATATTATTGAGTGCTCACAATTAAAACTAGAACGTGAGATTTTCATGAGGCTTTTTAGAGAATGCTACTCCGCATCCAAGTTCCTACTCCGGAATGAACTTTGCTTGAACCCTTTATTCACCAAAGACTCAAAACATTCATTAGTCGAGTTTGTCAATTTGTCCATCAAAACCAAAAGGCTCAACAAATTCCCCCTTTTTGATGATGACAAACATTGACAAACTTAGGTAAATAAATTTGATTATTCTATTCTCATCATAATGCCCAATTTGCACAATTTGTTTGTGTTTTAGGTACGAACTATAGCCAGAGGTGGGGACTTGAAACAAGTTCCCTAAATATGCAACATCAAAATGAATGTGAGTATTTTTTACTGTAGCCGTGCATACACCATTGTTGTGTTTGAAAGTATTTTTGAATTCAAACAAAAGCTTAGGGTAAATTGGATAGTGAGAACAATTTTGGAACAAATGCACCCATTCTTGATAATCAATTAAGGAGATGAATTCGGAGAACTTACTTGCCGTACACCAGTCATAATTGATGTGATAGCCGTGAGTGTAGTTCCAAGATGGAGACTTTTGAGAGCTTCGCCTCTTTCTGTCACCTCCTTTCACGGTTGTAGCCTTTCTCTTTGTCGGAGCTTAAGGGTGAACGACGGCAAGTGGGACTGGTTCAGGGGAGCCGCCAGCAGAGGAAGGTTTCCGGGTTATTGGTGGTTTCGGTGTTGAGTTTAGGTTGGTTTTCATGGTTATGAAGGTGAGTTGAAAGGAAGGAGAAGATGAATAGTGTGAATAGGAAGGAGAGAGAGTGAGTCCGGTTTTTATGAGGGTGTATGGAGAAGTTAATTTGATGTGATTGATTAGGGTGGAGTGTTAAAGAAAAAAAGAGTTTAATTGGGAAGGGTGAGAAAAAGTGACGGTTTATATGGTGAGGTAGTAGAGTAGTTTTAGGGGTAGTAGGATTTTAATAGGGTGAATTAATTGCAACTTTCAAACTTATCACAATAAAAGATAAACGTGTAAAAGATAAGAAATATACGGAAAGTAAGGAGTAGTGAATATACTGGCTCCTTATCTTACGAAAAAAAATCTTTTTGTATTTTTGAATTGTATGAGGAATAGAAAAAGAATTGAACATAAAAAATAAGGAAGGAAAAAGATAAGAATAAAAAATAAGGAAGAAGAAAAAAAATAAGAATAAAAAATAAGGAAGAAAAAAAATAATAACAAGAAGGAAAGCAGATAAAAAAAATTAAGAAGATAGATAAGTGCAAATTGATCGTAAATTATGATGATAATTTACGTGATCATAATACAGAGAATAAAGAATGATTAAAAGTATGTATAAGTGACTTTTCAATACTTCACAAATATTTCCCCTAGGTAATTTCAGCTGTGTTATGCACACAAGATTGAGCATAGCATTGTTAGTTACATCCGATTTTACCTTAGGGGTTCCAAACAAAAATCACTTGAGCCGTAGCATCCCCAATTCCACACGCATCTTTTCAAACTTGTCTCTGCTTAAAGGCTTAGTTAATATATCAGCAATTTGACATTCAGTAGAAATAAAATCTAGCTTAATTAAGCCCTTTTCAACATTATCTTTCAAAAAGTGATGCCTTACATGTATATGCTTAACTTTAGAGTGTTGTACTGGATCTTTAAAGATGCAAATGGCACTTGTGTTATCACAATGAATAGGAACGCACTCTAAAATAATGCCATAGTCACGCAACTGTTGTTTTATCCATAGCAATTGAGAGCAACATGCAGCAGCAGCCACATATTCTGCTTCGACAGTGGATAGAGCAACAGTGTTTTGTTTCTTGGAACTCCAAGAAACCATGCAAGAGCCTAAGAATTGGACCATACCTGACGTGCTTTTACGATTTACTAAATCTCCTGCATAGTCAGCATCAGCATATCCTCTTAGGTCAAACGAGTCACTTTTGGATAGAACAGACACAAGTCTTCCGTCCCTTTTAAGTATCGTAGAATCCTTTTGACGGCTGTTAGATGCGATTCCTTTGGATCCGATTGAAATCTTGCACAAAGACCTACACTAAGCAAAATGTCAGGTCTGCTAGTAGTTAAATATAACAAGGAACCAATCATACCTCTGTATTTTGTTTGGTCCACACGAGTTCCCTTGGGGTCTTGGTCCAACCTTGTGGTTGTTCCCATGGGAGTGTGGTTTATCTTTGTGCTTTCCATACTGTATTTTTTCAATAACTCCTTCACATATTTCTGCTGATGGATCATTATTCCTTCGTTAGTTTGCTTAATTTGGAGCCCAAGAAAGAAGTTGAGTTCCCCCATCATGCTCATCTCAAACTCACTGCTCATTAAATCGGCAAAGTACTTGCACAAGGATTCATTAGTTGCACCGAAAATAATATCATCAACATAAATTTGTACAATTAATAAATGAGTTCCTTTTGATTTTAAGAACAAAGTTTTATCAACTTTTCCTCTTGTGAAATCATTTTGTAAAAGGAATTTAGAAAGTCTTTCTTACTAGGCTCTTGGAGCTTGTTTTAATCCATACAGTGCTTTATCAAGCTTAAAAACATGGTTAGGAAAGTTTGGATCCTCAAATCCAGGTGGTTGTTCAACATAGACGTCTTCCTTTAAAAAACCATTTAAAAAAGCACATTTGACGTCCATTTGATAAAGTTTAAAACCCATAAATGCAGCAAATGCAATTAAAATACGAATTGCTTCTAATCTAGCTACAGGAGCGAAAGTCTCCTCAAAATCGATACCTTCCTGCTGATTGTAGCCTTTAACAACCAATCTTGCCTTGTTCCTTACAATTGTGCCATGTTCATCTAGCTTATTCCTGTATACCCATTTGAGACCAATAACCTTTTGATTCTTTGGTTTAGGTTCAAGGTGCCACACTTTGTTTCTTTCGAATTCATGTAATTCCTCTTGCATGGCAACAATCCAATCAGCATCTTCCAAGGCTTCTTTGTGATTTAGAGGTTCCAGTGTTGATAGGAAGGCGTTGAATGCACAAAATTTTCTCAGTTGGGATCTCGTCTGAGTTCCCTTACTTAGGTCACTTATAATTTTATCCAGGGGGTGTGACCTTTGATGTTTCCATGGCTTTGGTTGGAATGATTGAGCTGGTATAAAAGTGTTATTTTGAGTTGCTCTTTCTTCCATTTCTTCATGGTGTTCTGCTTCTGCATTTGCTTCGCCTTCTGTGTTTTATGTTTCTTCTGTATTTTGAACAGAGGCTTCAGTATTATTTGGAACTTCAGTAGGTTCCTTATCAGTATTTCCAGTAATTCGAACAGGCTGCTTTCTGGAAATTAATTCTTCATCTTGGTATGTTGAACGAGTGAGACCAATTTCAAAATCTCCATCTTCATATTCCTGTATACATTCATAATTATTAGTTTCATCAAAAATCACATGTATACTTTCTTCTACACACATAGTCCTCTTATTGTAAACTCTATAAGCTTTACTATTAGATGCATATCCTAAGAAGACTGCTTCATCACTCCTTTCATCAAATTTTCCAAGATTTCTTTTATCATTATTGTGAACAAAGCATTTGCATCCAAAGGCTCTTAAATGAGCAATATTAGGTTTTCTCCCTTTTAATAGTTCATAAGGTGTCTTGTCCAACATTGGTCTGAGCATGGCTCGGTTGATGATATAGCATGCTGTGTTGACGGCTTCTGCCCAAAAATTCCTTGGAATCCCACTTGCTATTAGCATTGTTATAGCCATGTCTTCCAATGTTCTGTTCTTCCTTTCAACCACACCATTTTGTTGTGGTGTTCTTGGCGCAGAGAAATTGTGACTTATTCCCTGTTCCCTGCAAAATTCATCAAACTTGGAATTTTCGAATTCCGTACCATGGTCAGTTCTCATATGAATAAGTTGATTACCTATTGATTTTTGTGTCTTTTTCAAGAAAGTCATAAACATATCAAAAGTTTCATCTTTACTATGTAAGAATATGACCCATGTAAATCTAGAATAATCATCCACAAGAACTAAGACATATCTTTTTCCACTTCTACTTTGAATTCTAACGGGGCCACACAAATCCATATGAATGAGTTCCAATGGTTTTGTGGTGCTTACCATTTTCTTTGATTTAAACGATGATCGAACATGCTTTCCTTTGATGCAGGCTTCACAAATTTTGTCATTTAGGAACTTGATAGAAGGTAGACCGATTACCAAGTCCTTTGACCTTAATTTGTCAAGAAATGAAAGACTAGCATGTCCAAAACGTTTATGCCATAGAAGTGGATCATCCTCAATAACACTTAAACAGGATAGATTGTATTTTGGAACTTTGTTAAGGTCCACGGTATACGTGTTCCCTTTACGAGTTCCTTCCAAAACGATTTTTCCAGTGTTATTGTTGATGATTTTGCATTTTTCAGAAGAAAAGCTTACAGAGTTTCCTTTATCACAAAACAGAGAAATACTGAGTAGATTATGCTTCAAACCCTCGACTAAAAATACATTGTCAATTGCATGGGAACTTGACCTTCCTACTTTGCCAACAGCAACAATGTTGCCCTTCTTATTGTCTCCAAAGGTCACTGTTCCCCCTGTATAGGCCGTCAGTGAGAGAAATCTGGATTCATCTCCTGTCACGTGCTTAGAATAACCGCTATCGAGGTACCACTGGTTGTTCCCCCTCACTGCGACCTGCAAAAGAAATTAAGGGTTAGTAGCAGGAACCCTTTCATTCATGGGTTCCTGTGTTGACACATTTAAATCAGTTTTCTTCTGCCAAACATAGTTCACATTCTTAATGTACTGATTTGCTTTCTTAGTACATTCTTCACTGCGATGTTCCTTTTTACCACAAAAAGAACAAACGGTCTCACTAGGTAAATTCACATATTTCTTTTTCTTTCCAGTGGACTTCTTCTTATGCACATAGCCTAGACCTTCTGTTCTTTTTGTCAGAGCTTCCTGTACCCACTTAGGAACACCCGTGCTTGTTGTACTTCTACTTTTTCTTGCTATTTCTAGGTCCTTTTCTAGTTTCTCATTTTTATCATTAGTTTCCTTTATCTCTTTCTTAACATGCTCTAGTTCATTATTAAAGATGATTAAAGGAACTTCAGTAGACCTGCAAGAATCAATGTTAGTACACAGCATTTTATATTGAGTCAATTTAATATTCAGAATGATATTCTCACTCTTGACTCTTTCAAGGGATTCTTTTAGCATAATATTTTTATCTAACAATTCAAAGAATCTGCCTTGAACATCATTTCTTAAGCTATTCAGATACTTTACATGATCTCTACAAATTCCAGTTGCCTTTTCGGCTTGCCTTAGTTTTGCACATAATTCTTTATATTCATTTAAGGTTTCTAACAATAAAGAGATTAATTTATCCTTTGAGAGAGATTTGAAATAACTAGGTTGAATGACTACCTCATCATCATGCTTTGCCATTAGACAGAGGTTGGCTACTTCATCGTTTGTGTGTTCCTGTTCCTCTTCTTCGGAACTTGATTCTCCCCACGTGGAAATCATTGCTTTCCTGAAATTTGTTTTAGAAGAGTTAGGCTTAGAGTTTCTGTTTTGATCAGCTTTTTTCCCTTGCCTTTCTCAGATTCCCATAATGGACACTCTTTGATGAAGTGGTTGGTGCTTCCACATTTGTGACAAGAAGACTTGGCTTTGGATTCCTGATTTCTTTTACTGTATCCTTTCTTCTTGTCTAAAAACTTGTTGTTACGGTAGAATTTTTTCAGCCTTCTCACCAACATTGCAGCTTCTTCTTCATCAATGTCAGACTTCTCTTCGGATTCTTCATTAGCTCTTAGTGCTAGCCCTTGACTTTTGACAGTCTCCTGAGTCCGATTGTTCGACTGGATTTCGTGGGTAATGAGGGAACCCGCAAGCTGTTCCAGATTGAACTTGGTGAAGTCTTTTGATTCATGCACAGCTGCAACCTTTGCTCTCCATCTGTCATTGTCTGGAAGACTTCTTAAGACCTTTCTGACCTGCTCATCTATAGGAATTATCTTACCAAGACACGTTAGTTCTTTAATGATACTTTTAAATCGAGTAAACATGTCTTTAATGGATTCTTTGTTTCCCATTTCAAAGCGCTCATACTGAGACAAAAGAATGTCTATTTTGAAACGTTTAACATCTGACGTTCCTTCATGTGTAACTTCCAGAAGATCCCAAATTTCCTTTGCGGACTTGCACCCTTTGACACGAGTATGTTCATCAAGTCCAAGTCCCCAAATTAAAAACTTTTTGGCAGTAGCATTCATTTCTAGTTTTTCATAATCAGTTTTTTCATATTCATCCATAGGTTTAGGGATTACCTCATTGTTAGCATTCGTTTTCGTAATTTCGTAATCTCCTACTTGTATAATCCGCCATACCTGATAATTCTCTGCTTGGATAAAGATTTCCATCTTATCCTTCCAATAAGGATAATATTTGTCGTTGAAGTATGGAGGTCTTTGAATGGATGTACTCCCGAATTCCTTTTCCTCTGTGTAAGCCATTTTCCCAGGAACTTACTCAACAGGGTTGCCTGCGTGCTCTGAGTTCCCGCTCTGATACCAACTGAAAGTCTAACTGGCTAATACAAGAGGGGGGTGAATTGTATTTGAGATGAAATCTAAAAACTTTTGCGGAATTTAACTAAATGAAATAATGACGAGAGAAGATATAGGCTTTTCTAAATTTCCACTATGTAATCAAACTCTTTACAAGTGAAGATTCAAACCCGTTAACAAGTTCCACAAATTAGGAACTTGTTCCCAACTCTCACAGAAGCCTTCAGCAACGAAGCTTCCTTGACCTCACTTTATAAACTCACAATCCCAACCCCAAAGTACTTGAATACAATATGTGATTACAAATACCTATTGCACTCAAGAATATAAGAAGGATAATAACTCTCTTTATGTTATTAGATGGCTACTGGAATTTTTATGCTCAAGAGTTGTGTTTTTCTGAGATAGTTTGCATGAGTATTTATAGAGAAGGCTTAGTCATTAACCTCCACTATAATCACGTCCACATGCCAACACCCCACTAACAACTTGTGGAGTTATCTTGACAGATGGTGATCATGAAGGAGGTTTCCTAGCCTTATCTCACTAATCCACTATCTCAACAACTTGATAAACATTAGCTATGATAAAACCGTATAATCATAGATTCTCAAAGAAAACTGTTTGCTAACTTTATCAAAAGTTTGTTTAAAAAGATTTTATTTTAAAAAGGATTTTATTTGAAAAGATAAATTAATTATTTATATTAAAACAACTAGATAATTATCTTTGATAATTATCTTTATTCGAAATTAGATGACTAGATAAAATTTTTATAAATTATCTTTTTCCTTAAGAAATTATCTTTTAAAACTAACTTTTATTCCAGTAGTCTTTTTAATAACATAAGTCATTGAGTTCCTTTCCGACTTTATATTATTGAGTGCTCACAATTAAAACTAGAACGTGAGATTTGCATGAGGCTTATTAGAGAATGCTACTCCGCATCCAAGTTCCTACTCCGGAACGAACTTTGCTTGAACCCTTTATTCACCAAAGACTCAAAACATTCATTAGTCGAGTTTGTCAATTTGTCCATCAAAACCAAAAGGCTCAACAAATTGTGATTTATAAATGAAAAAAATCTATCATGTTTTGATCCAGGGGACCTTAAAAAATGGACAAGAAATAGCTGTGAAGAAGCTGTCTAGTGGATCTAGACAAGGTTTTCATGAATTCAAGAATGAGGTTTTGTTGCTATCCAAACTTCAACATAGAAATTTGGTGAGGCTATTGGGACTTTGTTTAGATGGGAAGGAAAAGCTGCTAGTATATGAATATGTGCCTAACAAAAGCTTAGACTATTTTCTATTTGGTATGGTATGTTGACTTTCATCAAGGACATATTACTTTTTTTTTTTGTCAAACAAATTAATTTACTTGATTTTTACGTTTACCAATGTAAAACTTTGATAATTAATATCCTAATATAAATGCAAATGTGTATATGATAATTAATGCGCAGATCCCCAAAGGCATGAAAAATTAGGATGGAGAATACGTTACAAAATCGTGGTAGGAGTTGCTCGAGGGATGCTTTACCTGCATTCTCCAGAGTCATACACCGTGATCTGAAAGCCTCTAACATCTTATTGG